CCCTAGATTGTCCCATTTCAGAATATTGTAGTATTCTTTCTAATATAACTGATGATGCATGAATGTGTCACTTAAGTGTTGCTGCTGGCAAAGATGGAGCTCATTTTAATGACTTTATATACGGTTGGGTAGCTTGTATTTCCCTCTGAAATGTAGTGGAGTGCAAGTATGAAGTAGCATGGAGTGGAAATATTCAAGCAAATTAAATGTACTTTCCACCACTGCTCAGTAGAACCGACTGTAACCTGGTTATTTTCAGGTTTTTGTGGCCAGGTTCAAGCTTTTTACTGAAAAAAAAAAAGAAGTTTAATTAAGATAACAATCCTTTACACAATTTGTTCAAACATAAAACTTTAACTGAGGATTTGTAACTTTGAAAATAAGATTTTTTTTTAAATTTTAATGTCTGTCGAGTCTGATCTTTGGTTTTGTAGCTTTCAGTGTGTACAGTATGTCATTTTGTTTACTGAGTTTTATGCATCACCTCGATGACATGAGAGCAGAACAATAAACTGAATGGGTGGAACACCTTATAGCATCCTTTTCAATACTCTTTACAATTAAAGAAGCAAGCCGGACAAGTTTTAACAATGCCGTCTTTGGGAGTAGCTGTATTTCTAGTTTGGAGTATTTTTAACGTGACTTTCGGGTGCATCATAAAGGTTCCTCCAGTCCTATACTTTTCTTCTTCCATAGTCAGACTGAACATATTTAATGAGTCTAACATAAATTTTAATTTTGGGCTTTGATCCAGCAGCAAACATTCAGGAGCCTTATTTGATTCTTAATGCTTAAACTGTTAGAGAAGCCTGTATTTGTCACTTGTGTGTGTCATCTCTGTCACAAAGACAGTAACGACAACCTGATCCCAGTTTAATTCTACACTTGTCTATGATTTTCTTACTATATAATGACGAAAACTCTGTTTGTCTGTGTGTCTCTGCTCCACGTTTTTCTCCTCACTGACTTGGTCAATCCATGTGAAATTTGGCACAGTGGTAGAGGGTCATGGGAGGATGCGAATGAAGCAATATTACATCAATTGGCCAAAGGGGGGCGCTATAGCAACCAACTGAAATGGCAAACTTTGAATGGGCATATCTCATGCCCCGTATGTTGTAGAGACATGAAACTTTGCACAGAGATGCCTCTCCTCATGAGGAACAAATTTGCCTCAAGAACCCATAACTTCCGGTTATATAGATTTTCCGCCATTTTGAATTTTTTGAAAAACACTTAAAATCGATTTCTTCCTAGGAAGTTTGACCGATCTGCATGAAACTCGGTGAACATAATCTAGGGACCAATATCTAAAGTTCCCTCTTGGCAAAAGTTGGAAAACTTACTAAAACTGAGCTTCTATAAGGCAATGAATATTGCGGAGGGCGTGGCTCATCACATAAAGGTGTATAACATCTCAAGGGTTTCACCGATCACCACGCAACTTTGTAGGCATATGACCACACATAATCTGAGGGGACCCCTCCATTATTGACCCCATCAAACAAAATGGGGGCGCTAGAGAGCTAATTTCTTATCTAGGCCTAACCACCATATGGATTTTTACTAAACTTGGTAGATATGTAGAACAGGACGCCTCAAGGTGACTGGAGAAATTGAACTCTAATTGGCAACTGGGTGGCGCTATAACAACAGAAAAATGCTTAAAAATGGCTAAAATGCGACCGATCGCTGTGGCTCCCCCTGTGGCCCAATGTTTGTTGGTTGTTTTTTTTTCTAATTTTTGGTATGACTAAGTCATGGTATGGTATGTTGCACTCAATGGGTATGGACTAGTATCACCAATTCTCAAAATATTTTCTCAAGCAGACCATGACAACTTTTAACTCAGTGAGAGCTGATGTCATTAAGACCAGAGGCGGAGCAAATGTTTTCTCTAAAGCCCCAAATGTTTCAGGTTTTAAAGGCACACACTTTGTGTCATTTAGATATGTTATTTATCCTGCTATGCTATAACCTAAAGAAAACTAATTGAGTAAATGTTCTTCTGTTGGCCTGATATTAGATTGCGAGTACTGAAGACCACATTTACTTGGCATTGTTTAAGATCCTTGATTTGCAGTTAGAGCAGCCCAGATTATTTGGATGGATTCAAATGTAAAAGATTTGTTAAATTAACATTCACTCTGTGAACTTTACCCCAGCATAGTGTAACAGATAGGTTTCAAGATAAGGAATGTCTGCCTTATCTGCATTATGTTATCTAAAAATAGTAACATCAGACAGTCCACAGGGGCTTGACTTGGGAACCAGAGGGTTGCCTCCGGTTCAAGTTCCCGCACAGTGTGGACTGGCAGCTGGAGAGGTGCCAGTTCGCCTCCTGAGCACTGCCAAAGTGCCCTTGAGCGAGGCACCAAACCCCCAACTGCTCTGGACCCTGTGGCTGGACCAGTTGGGAACCACTGATCTACAGGATGATCTTTTTCCTTAGCAACTATCATGTTTTTCTCAAATGATGTACAGATATTTAGGCTTTTAATGATCTCAAATGGCTTCAAAAATCAAGTGTATAGCTGCCATTAATGGGGACAATATCTCTGCAGGGGAGCATGCCTCGGACGCCATAGGTTTGGGTTGTGCCCTGAATGTTTACAATGTGTCATGATCTCTGAAAAAAATCTAAATCCAAGACAACTGTGACTACAAACCATCATGACCTCAGACAAATACATAATAAACGAAGAGGAAGGTTATGAAGGTTTTTCCCTGGTCCCACCTAGCTACTGATTAACTAATCATAGCAACTATCAACTTGATATTAAAATGTCAAATACGTGAAAATACTGATGGGATGGATATCCAAAAAAAGTCAGTATTGCTCCTCTTGCCTCAGACCTCTGAACATGATCCAGTTGTTTTTCCATGGATTTTTTTTTTAATCAGTGAAGTTAATGTGTTGTGTATTTTCATCTCTTACTCTTCAATCTGAATTCTCACCATATTTCTCTGCTCTTGCCTGCAGCGCTGTCACTGGATTGCTATGTGTGCACTGCTGCTGCCACCAACGATGCATGCAACAGTAACAACAACACTCAGACATGTGAGCCGCCGCTGGACATATGCATGACTGTCGTAGACGTCTTAGGTAACGATCAAAACGCAGTATCAGATCTCTGCTCAGGAATGTAAAGAACTACAGACTGTGGGCGGATCCAGTATTAATAGAAAATGTCTTACTGAATCTAAATGTATCTCTAAAGAAGGTCTTGTTGTTTTATTGGAGAGTCATCACAGCTTCAGGGAAAACAGAATTGAGTCTAAAATATCTCACTCCAGTCCCCTGCTGTCTCTACATGTGTGTGTGTGTGTGTTGTTCAGGCGCTACCAAAACCATATCAAAGTCATGTGCCAGTGAGGCCACGTGCACAGGAGCTGCCTCGACTGCCTCAGTCGACTCAAACGGAAACGGAAACATCGTCAACTGCTGCAACAGCTTCAACCTGTGTAACTTCAGTGGAGCCGAGTCCGTTCACATACACACCGCACTGCTGCTTCTGACTGTGGGTGTATTATACCTGCTGTCACACTGAGGACTCTGGGATATGTTGTCTCTACATGTGTCTCAATAGACTGCAATAATATGTAGTATAATGTAAAGACTGTTTAGGACTGTAATTCTGCTGGAGACACATTAGGCTCATTAATATCATTATTTACGAGTATGAAGTTTTAAATACTGACAGGACCCTGACCTCTCTGTGGCAGGTTTTTCAGCACTGTTCTGGCACTTATATTCTACTTTCACACCTCAGGGACTTGAATACTATCTGCTTCGTGATGTACTATGTTTGACTATGCTAACGGATTGTCCAAACTATAATGTAAAATGTATCATCATATATACTGCAGTATTACAGCCTATGTACACCTTTACATTTGTCAGTTTGCTGAATTTTGTTGCAACACTCTGTTCTCCTATGTCTTTATTCCTACACCTGCCAACACAATCAGGGGATGACCAACATCACTGAAGTCTCATTCATGGCTGAAAGACTTCTAATGACTATTATTACAGATACAACATAGAGGGATGAATCCTGCAATCGCAATCTGCTCTGTCTCAATGTCTAATTCACGAAAGATTTTGCTCTAATGAAACTACAGCGCAAACACATCCATAAAGTTTTGCAGCTGAGTGCACTTTATCATTTTTTGGGGGTCAGACTGCAATTATCCATGTGGTAAAGTATAAATGTTGCCTTTGCAGCAACAACACAGGAGGCAGGACAACGGCAGAGAGAAAAAGAAAAGGGACGTTTCCAGATTGCGAGGCACAGGTCCTGACCTACGAAGTGCTGATGCCTTCCCTAAAAGTGACAGAGAGAAACTGTATCTTTTGGATTTAATATACCTGTCCCTCATTGTGCCTTAGTAACACCAGCTCTGTGAAGATGGTAATAATTTCACTGTAACTGCGTGTGGCTGTTAGCACTGATGATTGTGAACGGGACATACAAAGGGGCCGATTTTGTGTTCAATATACATATTTAAATATGTGCATACAGTACAGGAGCACCAAGACGCTATTTGCTTGGCAGTTCAGTTATGCATTCCACCCTTCGCGGGTGCTTTGAGAAATATGAAACATGGTTTCTTTGTGTCTTATTCTTGCAGTTTTAGTGGCTGCAAAAACTGCGCAATCCTTTTATGAATTTTAAGAAACTGAAACCAAGAAAAGTGAATTTTCCTGATTTAAATTTTTTTTAGGTTTTACAGAGGGTTAAAATTAGTAAAGCTGAGGGTTTGAAGGCAAGTGAAAGTGCTTTAAAAGAGAGGAAACTCCCTGTAGGACTTCATAGTAGTGCTGAAAGGAAAGAAATTTAAATTTAAATCAAATACAAAATGGACGACAGCAGGAAATCTCCCTCTTCAAGCCTGCATTAACATTCAATAACAAACTGTGTAACTTTTGATACTGGATGTATTAAATCTGATATGAAATACTTCCTAATAAATCACACATAAGAAAGTGGGCAGTCTGATTTCCATTTCGTCATTATTTTTATTTCATTGTTCTTCTCCTCCTATTTGACAAGATGGCTGACATAGCCCAGAAGACAAAATAAAAACCAGTGTTTACTAGTACTAGTTCTGTACAATTCACCAGTGATTCACACCAGTATAGCTTACAATATACCAACATGAGCAGATTTACGCAACGACAAGATAAAATAGATTGTTTTTTTTAACTTTTATTTACTTTTTTTTATTCCTACTGAACCCAGATATGTGATAGTTTCATTGCTGGCTAAACCTGGAAATCAAATCTGGGTAAAACAGGGTTAAAAAAAAAAAAAAAAAGTTAGGATTTTTTTTTTTTTTTTGGTGCTGTGCAAATATGCTCTTCTCCATACCAGTATATCATGCTATACCAGTACAGTCACCAGTATGTTTCATATAGCAGTATGTCATACTCCATGTGGGGTCACTATTAACAAAGACACGTGTGATCTGCTGTTTTTTTTTTTTCAGTTCAGTGTTTTGTGTCTGTAAGACAAGTTCCAGTCATGTGGCTCCACATTTCATGTGTATGTGTGTGTGTGTGTGTGTGTGTGTGTTTGTTTCCCTGGGGACAGTTGCTATGAGGGACATATTTAAAGAGTTAACACCTGACAGGATCTGGGACTCAGAGCACAAAGGTTCCAGTTGTGAGGTTTGTGTCCCAGGTAAATTCACTTTGTGACACCGGCTGTGGGTGAGGGGACAGGTAAAGGCGTGACACCAGTTTTGAAGGGGAACGATATTGGGACTGTGGGTGAAAGGAAAGAAGAGGAGACACTGTCCTCACAGACGTAGATTCAGTCGAGCTTTGTGACCAGTCTGAGACATGATGTCCTTTTCTTCCTCAAGGACAAATCCACTTTTTCATTTTCCGCTCATCAGAGTCAGTGCTGGGATCGAATATCTGTTTGTTTTCCAGGTTACAAACCGTTTTCCGTAAAGAGGAAGAAGCTGAAACATAACAACATGGAGCCAGCCGATAAAAAGAGTAAACTGAGTGTGTGTTTAGGGAGTTTCCTGTCTGCGCTGTTGACGCAGACACAGTTGGATTCTTCACATTAGGAGTCTTTAAAACCGGCTCAGAGAGGAGCTGAGGAAGACTTCACGAAGGAGAGGAACAGCGAGAACAAAAAGGAAAGAAAGTTGAGTGAAATAGGGTAGTGTGTTTCTTCTTCAGGCAGCAGACCGGTGCTAGACTGTCCCCAAGCTTTAATGACCGTCCTTCCCTCCGTCTCCTCCTCTGCAATTTCTGAGTCTATAAATAAAACCTGGTGAGACGGAGGGAAGACGGGAATGAATGGAAGAGAGAAACGGGAGGAGCGATGGAGTATGGGAGTCTCCAGACCACACCAGTGTCCTTGTCGAAGCATCCACTTGAAGCGCCGCATGTGACCACAGCTGAACAGATAACGTGGTCTGATCCGCCCATTCAAAAGAAGCCATGGTGATGTGGAGGTATTTCAACTGAGGAGAACGTTCACATCCAGGGGGGTCACGACACATGATATCAACACATGTACTGATATGGCTGCTGGCTGACGTCTAAGTCCGTTCCTGTGGTGAAGTTTCATGCAGATATGTTGCAGATCAAACGCAGTCCGGTCAGGTTCTGATGGCTTTGCTTAAAAGAGTGTTATCCCATAAAATCCACCCGATGTCTACAGATCTAATTGCTCCCATGATAGTTTGTCTATCGGAGGCTTTTAAACCTTTTGACCGCAGGAATCAGGCTCATCTCAGGTCAAGAACCATAGTTAAAAATCATCTTCCTCTTCGCTTTCCCTCCTCTCATCATTATATTACAGTCCAAAGAGAGTGAAGCTGCCGCGTCCCTGATTCAGGAAGTGTTTTTGCTCTGCTCTTGTATTACGAAAGTCACAGTGGTGGAGAGACGACCTCAGCGTACACAAGATTCAACATCTAATGATTCTTCATGGACTGTTGTCAAAGTGTCAGAGCCGTCGTTTTCTCCCTTGATGTAAAGCAGTCAGCTCCGATGACTCCCACGCATCACGATGTCACTTCAGATCTCCACTGCTAACAGCGAACCAGGACGACGCAGACCAGTTCCTGTTGCTCACATCGGCTGTCGTGGGGCTAGTGCGGGCGGGACTGGGACATCATCTTGAGCCGTGACTGGTCGATGACGTCCAGCAGGTTCTTGGCATCGACTGCGAGAGCGTGAGCTGCAGTCAGCATCTGCTTCTTGTAGTCCTGCTGGAGACTGCGACAGAGCAAAAAACAGGGAGTGAGTGAGATGAGAAGTGAAGTACCAAAGCCACTAAAATGTCTGACTGTGGCGCCCCCCTGTGGCAAACAGCTGATGTCCGTTGAGAAAAATGTTCCTCTGTGTTGCTGTTTTGACATTTTTCCAAACACTTACTTAACATATTTTCTTTGCCTTAGATAGAATAGAAAACCTTTATTGTCGCTGCACAGTATACACACAATTAGTTCAATATCAGTGCATGAAAAAGACACAAGAAAACTCCACACACACACAAAATCAGGACAACATCCAGTCAAGTTCAATAAACTAATATAACATCATTTTTCACTAGAATAAATGTAATTATTGCACATGATGCAGCAGGTTTGCCCTCGAAAGACAGTCCACATATCGCACGAGGGGCCAATTAATGCTTGTTAGAGTTAAGTGTGCTTAACTGCAATAAAATCTAAGTTAAGAAGGTAGGTGTCTATGAGATGTAAACTTAATAATGTTTTCCAACATAAGGCACTGTCTGCAATTAAACTATTCTTTATATTTTCATAGGCCTGTCTTCATATTTGAACCTACCTGGTCATCACATATTGTTGGGCTAACTTCATCTTCCCGATCAGCTCCGCCAAGTCAGAGTTCAGAAGTTTCTGTGCCATCTCGATCTGTTGAAGAAAACCAGCGCATCAATATCTACCTATAAATCTGGCAGGATAAAATACCAACAACATTTAATGATAACAAGAATATATAACTACAAGGGCTGGGCGATATGGACAGAAATTCATACCTCTGTATTTACATGCTGAATGGCAATACACAATATATATCTCGTTTTTTTTTTTTTTTACAAAATGGGCTACATGTTCAGTTGCAGGTCAAAGCCACATTTAAAATGTCACAAGCACTTTTATAAATACAGACTGTGATCAAAATAAAATGCAAAGACAGGGATTTCTTTCACTGTTTGAAAATATACAGCTGCACAACATGTGAATGAAAAAGGCGTAAATCCATTGTAGTTTGGAACAATTAAAAACCTTTGTAGGGGGAGTTAAAAAGTCGTTTTCATGGCCTTTCAAATGAATCTAGTGCTGGAAAATGATTTAAATATTTTATTTATTGAGGCTACTAATCTTATTTATGCACAAAGCATGAACAGTGAGGCCGAGGGAGGGAAGGAGAGAGAGACACTTTGTCCGTGTCATATACGTCATGTATATGTAACGTCTGTCCTGTCGCTGCATTTTTTAAACATGTTTGTCGCCTGCATCCAGGCGCTGTCTCAATGTCACACTATAGATTCTAACCACTAAGAAGAACAGTGATGCCCTATGATCCACCTCACACACAAACTAGCAGCGCAGCACTGGAATGCATGTGTGCTGCGGTAATGTCATTTATCTCACAGACTGATTTAGTGTAGCACGTGCAACATATAGACCGATGTCACACAGTAGACTAATTAACAGACGGATTAAACACAGTAGCAGCTCCGTGTCTCTCTAAGTGTTGCCGGAGAACTTGTGAGTGAATGAGTGGGGCGGAGCTGTGTGGAGAGTGTGAGAGAGGAGAGATGCACACTGGTACGCCTTATATAATGCAACTTGACCCTATAACGATATAAACAGTTTTGTCTAACTTTAAGTCTTGCTTGAAAATATACCGGTATATAGTACATAGTCGTTATATTACCCAGGACTAATAACTACTTAAGATAAATGATCAGAGAACACACAATGAGTGTGTGAGTGTATGTATGTAGTTTAGATGAGTGTGTGTACCTCTCTGTGTGTACTGGCTGGAAGTTGTGGTAATGTCTCATCCACTGTGGCCAATAACGTCCTCAACGCCAGACCCACATCCTGAAACACACACACACACACACACACACACACACACACACACATTGGAAAATGCCTTTATAAAAACTCTGATTATACATGCAGTAAAGTATAAGCTAAAGGGACTCATGAGGAGACTTAAATTATTAAATCCCAACAATGAGAAAGCAACATCAAGTGAGGTTAAAAGGTCAGCTCTGTGGAGTCTGCTTAACAGATGAGTCACAAATTATTCATTGGGAGGTATTCAGCCCTCTGAAGGAGCTGCACGGTGTCATTTAATCAGAACAGGGTGTCACGGTTGTCAAGGGAAGATGACATAACGCTGTATAAACAGAACAGCACTCATATGTGTAATGCTTTCAAGCTTTAATGTCAGGGTTTGCAGCTCAAATTCAGCGAGCGTCTGAGAAAAAAATGCTGAAGAGATAAATGTGTTAGAGCGCCTCGGTTACCTTGACCATGGGAACGTATTCCTCCGGAGGAGCCGGCTGGATCTTGCTTGACATCTCGATCACAGCTTTGACCAATCCTGTCACGTTCTCGTACACCTTGTCGTTGGAGCGGTCCAGATTGGCGGTGGGGGGCGGGCTGATCTCTTGGGGCTGAAGCTGGATGATGTGAGCACAAAAAAGCAATGAGGGGCTGAATGAGGCTGAGTGAACAAAAACCCACAGGTCTGTGAGAACGGGCAATGACACAGACAGGACAATGTTGATGAAAAATATGAGACTGTACAAATCCTACACTATTACAGAGTCGTACATGAATTATATTTTTGTTTCACTAAGGAGTTTCTGCTGAGGGCTGTAACTTAACAAAAAACAAACTGTCATAAAAGGTAAATAAGTGCATTAAAATGTAATCTAATGTCTGAGTAAATGAATGAATGTGAGAAGATTTGCAATTTGTCATTGGGTTGCTGGACTGTCACTTACTGCCTCTGTTAACTATATGCACAATTTGCATTTTTATTTGTTCATATATTTAATTTGAATTTGTAGTTATATATATATTTTTTAATTTTATTCTATATATAGTATTTTTCCACACTCATTAGTTTTTGCACTTTTTATTCACCTTTTGCTGGACTTTAAATTACTGACTGTTGGCCTTATGTCCAATCTGTATTTGCACATATATTTACCTTTAATTTGTGTTATATTATCCACAGCAATCATTATTCTTGCACTGCTCTTACTGTTTTAACCACCTTACATTTGCGCTACATCAATTAACACACACTCTATTATAGTTACAGCTCTCTGGTAGCTCTGGTGGCTGGACTATTATTTCACTGCTGTTTTTATTCTTGTGTGTATCTGTGTTTTGTACATGTCATTAAGCTATTGGATGCCAAAATTTCCCTCGGGATCTATAAAGTATATCTTCAGATCTGTGATACATAGTGGTGTTATATGTAGTTCCCTATTCTGGCCACTAGATGGCAGTGACACACTGGTACAAAAAGACATAATCAATAAAAAAATGAATTTAATCCTGACCTCATTTGACCTTTATTTATGTGTATACTTAAAAATTGTGACTATAGAAAGTTTCAGTTGCTTTTTCTGCTATTAAATTAGCTTTACAGCAGCTGTCATTAAAAACAAAATGTTTTTTATTTTTATTTTTTTTTTTTTTTACATATGTTTGCCTCTTTTCGTTCACCTTCTACACACTCCTCCCTCCGGTGGGAGATCATTTTTGGGTGATCAGTCACCCCCAGCTGTCACAACACTACAGCTCTGAACCTTGTACACATTATGGCCTGCAACTAAAGCGCAAAATGTTTGTCTAAAAAAACAAAACAAAGAAAACTAGCACATTCTGCTGTGCTGATTTTAAGACTTCAGGCAGACTATGTTTGACATGGAAGACTAAAGGAAGTCAAACTGTGTTTTTACTGGCAAGTCAAAAAACACAAATTTGGCTCAAAGGGCTCTACAATCTGTACAACACAGGAAAAAGCAACAAAGAACGGATCTCTCCTCTATCTATCAAATGTATTTCACACTCCCTCTGACAGTATTTTTCATTTTAGCCTAAAAAACGGATGTGATTGACATAAAATAACGTCCAGTTTGACAAAGGGTTAAATACTGTTAGTTTCAGACAACAAACATGACTATATAGATTTGGAGGTTAGTTTTAAGGGGAAAAGACGGCAACACCTGACTGATGTCTACACTACAGAGGGGACTGGAATGCTGAATTTGATTTGTTGGGACAGAGAAATCAAAGAAACGACGGAAGAAGGGATCAAATGAATGTGTGTGTGATCAACTAGCAGACAAGACGCACAGTAAACACACACAGTCAGTGTGCTGCTTACCCGCCAGGGCTAGAGGTCAACAGTAAGGCAGTGCATGGGGAGGAGGATGAGGAGGAGGAGAAGGAGGAGGTGGGGAGGAGGGAGCAGCCAAAGAAAAAAAGAGGATAAAAGGAAAATATTAAAGCATTAAAAACATGCAACCTGTTTATTTTTGTTTCAGGTGTTGTGTTGGTGTTGTGTGCTGTGTGTGTACCTTGACTCCGTCATTATAACTGTCTCCAGTATTTAGACAGGCCAGGCTGCCCACTTGACTCTGGGCTCCGGGTCGAGGAGGTTTCTTTGGGGGAGCTGCATGCTCTGCAGGAAACAACATGGGAAAGTGAAAATTATTTCTTCTCACAGTTTTACAGTCTCATACACACATACATGTTCTGAACAGACTGTACTTTAACATTTTTCTGAGGGACCAAAGCAGCAGCAACTGATGTAGTTCAACATTAGTGCGGGGCTGCAACTTAAGATTATTTTCTTTATTAACTATTAATTGTTTAGTCTGTTTTGTCTGACTGACAGTGAAAAACCCAGCTATATTTATATATTTATTATTAAATATCAAAATGACATCAAGCACAAAGGAGCAGAAAATCCTCACATTTTAGAAGATGCTTGGAATTTTTACTTGATTAAACATCTGAAATAATTAATCCATTATAAAAAATTGTTGCCAATGAATTCTCTCTAGATCAGGGGTGTCAGACTAATTTTAGTTCATGGGCCTTTGTTTTTAGTTTAATTAAAAAATATTAAAGTACATAAAGCATAAGCTATCGAGGAAGCAGGTTGAGTCTTCCCCTGCCTTATAAACCATTTACAAAATTTAAAAGTTTTGGCAGTGCCTCAGCAGCAGGGTTCCACCAGTATTGTTTTAAGACTTGTCTAAAACAGACTCTTTTGTACAGAAGCTGCTGGTTGACAATATTTTGCACCATGTTCGATATCTTTAAATATGACCACAGTAAGTATGCATTGCTTTTTCAGAGAACTGTATTCTAGTCAGGGTGGAAAAACCTCTGAGGGAACATTTTACATCAAGACAGTGGCTCCCAACTGGTCTATCCACAGGGTCCAGATTTCACCTTAGTCATTAGTTCACAGGTCCACACAGTTTAATACATTTGGACTTATAACTATGTTTGCTGTCTCTGTCAAGCAGCTGTCTGTTTGACACTCACTCTACAGCAAAAAAATAAGCACTTCAAAATAAAAGCTCTATGCTGGAAAGTTACTGTACTTAAAAAAAGTGTGTTTCAGTGTGTTTGCAAGTCATTTGCGACCCATTTAGAATGAACCCACGGCCCACTTTTGGACCACGACCCACCAGTTGGGAACGACAGCATTAAGAGAGCTATTCAGTGTTAAACTTTCTCCTGAAACCTCTTAGTCTTCACAAGTGCATCACTATTAGGTGTGCAAAGTCACCCAGTGGGCCTGATTGGACCCTTTAGCTGGCTGGTTTGGCCCCTGGGCCGTATGTTTAACACCCCTGCTTTAGATTGACGAATAATCTAATTGTTTCAGCTCTATGTAAGAATAAAAAAAAGTACATTTTGCAGGTGATGGTCAATAAGCAACAGTATTGTTATTATTGTTGTGTTTTTTAAATAACTGATTGATTTCTAATTATAATAAGTATTTTTTTTTTTATTTATTTACTTTTTAAGTATGTTCTCCCCGTCTTTTGACATTATGTACATAATAACGAAGCATGGCAATACCCTGTTTTGTTATCTTTGAAAACAATGTTTCACAATAAAAATTTGAAATATGATGAAAACAGGAGCAAAATGGTTTTAACGTCACTGAAAAACGCTGCAACTAATCATATTATAAAAACCAAACTGTCCTTCAAAATCTCCACACTGTAAAAGCTGAATGTTTTTCTGTTGTCTCTGCGTTAGGCCGCCTGCACGTTGGGCATATTCACACTCTGAGCACACAACATATTGAACCTGATATGCTGTCTGAGTCCATATAAACAGAGGTTGGCTTGTTCGCTGGTAGGCCAACAGGCTGTGGAGTTCACAATCGGATCCGTCATATTGTGGCAACAGACTGTAAACTCTGTAAGCGCACAGTGACACACACACAGACTGACACTCTATCTGCTGGAGGAGGGAGACACTGAATCTGTATACAGAGGGTGAGCTGGAGCTAAACAGAGCAGTGTGAGGGTAGATGGGTTAACTGCATACTTTGGGAGATTAAGAGACAGTAAGGGTTCTCTACAGTTATCAGACTCTTACATTTAATGCTTTTAAAGACCTTTTTAAGGTCATTTTTAACCAAATTTAAGTCAGATTTTTGGACCAATCATCTTTTTCTTATGCTAGCATTGCAGGTAAATTGAAAAATATATATGTGGTTCAGTGCAGAAGTAGGTTTATGGAAGGAATATGCTTATTAGAGTGAGTTAGGTTAATCTACATTTTGCCAAGCTTGACTCATTTTGACAAAAAGAAATAAAACGATAGATAAATGTAATAAGATAAAATGTTTGTAGCAATTAAGACCTCACAAATTCAAATTTTGGATTATTTAATGTCTTTTAAGGCCTAGCATTTATAACATTACAACATTTTAAGACATTTTAAGGGCTTGCAGACACCCTGAACAATAGAGGTTGTGTGATTACAGACCGTTACAGGCCTGTCTATTACCTGGTTTGCCAACGGGCTGGTATATGTGCTGGTTTCCTGTCTGCACAAACAAACAAACACAACAACAAAACAAGGGTTAGCAAATTCTCAGTCACACATAATCAGAAGCTTCACAGGAAATTAGAGTTTCACAGGCAAGAACCACCAGAAAAAATGTTGGGAATCCAATTTAATTTACTTGTCACACGACATGGCGTCTCAATTTGTTCTTGTAAAACACACACTTGTCTCCGGTCGTGGAGCTGTTTCTGTTTCCAGTGGTGTGTGGTCTAGCACTCTGTTACTTATGTTAACAAAAATATTCTGTCTGACTGCACAGGAATAACAAAAAAAAAAAAAAAAGAAACACTTCCTTTGTTAGTGCTTCCCTTTCAAAACCAGATAAAGCCCTGCAGCATGTCTTTACGATTTGATGGTTGTGAGCATAAACTCATGCCACAAACTCTGTAGTGGTGCCACACATGTTATATATTTACTTTGTTGAATTATTACTGAATCTCTGTTGTTTTTTTCTGTGTGAGAAAAACAGTACAGAGGGCTTCGAAACCCATCAGAGTGTTGAGGTCTGACAACCGCCAACACCCCGAAATACTCTACTACAGCATTTTACACTAACACACACACACATGCACACACACACACACACACACACACACACACACAAGGGAGATTTTCCCACCACAAACCACAGCCATTCAATGGGAGGAGGAGTACAGGCAGAGAGATGAATTACAGAGACAGAAATATCTGACCCATGGCAGCTTCAGACTGCTACAACAACTCCTGCTGGCATCAAGAACACAACACACATCAATGTACAACTCTGTGTTCTGCTCTCTAGATTCCAACGATGGGATAAAGTTACTCCAAATTCTGATCAACAACATAGTTTAGTTTCAGGATGTGAAATATAATCACAGAAAGACTTTGAGAAAAACACACAAGACTCCAGTTTTTAGTCTACAAAAACAAACACATTACAGGAGGGAAAAAGATGCTGAAGTTACCTTTCAATACCACCTGTGTTAACATGTGATGAAGGTTTAAACAGCTTATAACCACCATTATGTTTTGCTGAGAGAAAACGTTCATCTGTTGCTGCAAACCATGTTACACCACAGAGCTCAGTTTAAAATATGATGTGGTTAGCTGTCTTAAAGGAGCAGTGTGTAGGATTTTGGGCATCTAGTGGTGAGCTTGGAGACTGCAACCTGCTGAATACCCCTCAGCTCAGGACTGGGCGATATGGCCTATAAATAATATCGCAATACTGTATATACAGGCTAGATAGCGACACACAATATGTGTCTTGATATGAAATTTCTAGACTACTGTAGACGACTAAACTCTTAAATAATTTGAAACTTCGAATTTAATTCGAAGCATTCGACGACAGGGGGGTGGTGACAACTCCGTGGAGGTCCGCGCGGACTAAAAGCGGACGTCCGCAAGCCCTGTGTGCGCAAAGCTCAGATTTTACGGCCGCATGGACTCCGCTCCGCACACCAGCGTCACTCAAAAGACTACTCGGCATTGTATTTTTCACATCGCCATGACAGAAACGCGCAAGAATTGGGGGTAATGTAGTGTTTCATGGACATTTTTACAGGAAACTACAACGCGGAAGTGCGCTCGACTATGGAAGCCCAAATGACTGCGGACATCCTCCACTCCGCTTATAGTGCGCCTGAGTCTGTGAGCACCTTAAATTAAAACCCTCGGCGCACACTGCAGCACAATCAAACAGATGCGCAACTCAGACCATCAGAAGTGTCTCTGACACCAGACTCAGAGCGGCTCTGAGTGCGCTCGTTGGGTTAGTGTTGCGTTTAAGGCCTCCCCCCAAAAAACGAAAAAAAAAAAAAAAAAGCGCCGAAGCTTTGAATTTTTTTTTTTCACAATCGAATCCCATGCCATCGAACGAAGCTTCGAAGCTTCGAATTTTTTGGGTCAGCCCTAAAAATTATTATAATAAATTAAATTAAGTTATAATAACGTTAAACACAAAAGTGTTATAAAGATATAAATAAATGGTGCTTTTATTCTGAAGCATCTGGCTCATCTCAGGCTGGCAGTGTTGATGTTTTCACTGTGAACTTGAAGCTGCCAGTCAACAGTCAGGTGTCAGCAGTTAGTTGGAAGTTAAACTGTTACAGCGGCGCCGTTACATGTAGGACTGATTCACTGTGAGCCAGAAACAAACAGCTCTCCGGTTCATAAACTAATAATATTTGCAAGTCACACTGGTGCTCCATGGTCGCAAAATGCAACTAAATAGTCACAGTCTGGAGCTCTACAGACACAAAAACACACGCCTCGCCTGCTCACACTATTGCCCAGGTGAGAGTGGTCTGGATGGACAGAGGAGTGTATTTGCTGAGTCATAGTTGTGAGTCCAAGTCTAAGTGAGCCAAAGGCAGTCTCATGCTGGTGGTTTAAAAGATTGATGTCACAGTTCAGACTTGATGTTCACAATATAGTATTTGTATACATCCCACGTGGAACAAGCCATGATACATTGAGTGTAATCAATTTATCACCTGCATTTCCAAGCCTGAAGGAGAACCTACATTGGCTGTCTGGTAATGTTAGAAAATACAAAAGGACCTCTGTAGAGCCAGTGTTTGGTTTGTCTGTTCTGGGCTACTGTAGAAACAACATGGCGGACTCAGTGGAAGAGGACCTGCTTCTAATGTAGACATAAATGGTTCATTCTAAGCTAGCACAAGCACAATGACTTTCAGTTTCAGGTGGTTATACGCTGATAAAAAATTGGTTATGAATATTACATACCATTCCTGTCAATTGATCCCTCTAAATCCTACACACTGTACCTTGAAGTAAACACAAATATGGCAGCAAAGAAACTATATCTTATTTCACAAACACTGATACTGTAGCAGGTTTGTATATGATTATTGGACTACAGCTGCAGCTGATGGTTATTTTCGTTACTGATTAATTTGATGATTAAGTTCCTGATTAAACAATTGTCTGTGTCTCTAAAATGTCAGAGGATAGTACAATTTTCCAGAACCCTAAGTAAAGCTTCAAGACACAGAAAGTAGAAACTTCTCACACTTTAGAAACATTTTTTTTGCTTTTGCCAGTTGACTTATCTTTTAAATGATTACTTATCTAATTTTCTAAGCTCTAAGCTCATTATCTAATATGTTAAAGCAATAACCTTAGGAGGGCGCTGGCTAACATGCTGAAAACAAAGCCCTTCTAAAAAGACACATACTTGAGGCTGCAGCTGCAGGCTCATGACTTTCTATGAAATGACTACTTGTTTTCTTGAAGCAGTGCTCTATTAATAACCAGCCCATGTTGTGGGAATTCATTGACCCCTCATTGCTGACCCCGCCCCCGACAGGTCACTTCCTGTCCCTGGATCAATCCCTTCAGCTCTAATCAAAACAAACACATGCTGCAACCAATTGCAGCGAGTCCGGCCAGAATGTGAACTTCCGTCAACATTTGTCTTTATCAGACATCCTCCTCCTCTTAAACATACAAACAGTTCAGAAAAGCAACTTCCTTCTTATTGTGGTCGCAGTGGTCATGATTTTGACAGTGAAAATTAGAAAGCGGTGATGTGAAGTGCAGTTCATTTAGGAGAAATACAAATAACACCAACTAACAGTGAGATGGATGGAGATAGAAACCAGCTGTAGAAAGTAACGTACCGGTGCTTGGAGTCCACCGTCCTCTCTGTCCAGACTCCCTCTGGAACTTCTAGAGTCTGGTTTCTAAACACACACACACAAACATAAAATTTACATCTCCATACAGCAACAGGTTTTAAAAGTATAGTTCGGATCTTTTGAAGTAGGGTTGTGTAAGGTATTTATCTGTAGTAGTATCTGTAATCTGTAGTGTATTACGAACAGTAGATTGGCATGCCCCCAGTTTGAAGGTGCAGTCAGGGGTACTGACATGGAAGCTAAGTAATGTACTGCTGTGGATGAGGGTAATAAATCAACATCAGTTTCAGTGTACACTATATTTACTGCGCCATCAGACAGCGATTTCTGACAGGGGACTAGAGTCATTATATCGCTCTCTTCAAAGCCAGACTCCATTGAGAAAAACAGTAATTTAACATCACTGAACATAGGAGCTGCTGGTCTACCACTGCCTCCATCAGTTATTTTGTTTCTGTTATTGTTTGACTTTGGTGTTTCACAGGGTTGATTCAGTCACACAATAACACAAACTAACTAACTGATCAGGGCAGCAGTAGACCTGCACAGCTCCCACATTCAGCCAGGTAAAATTACTGTTTTGTCAATGGAGTCTGTTGACTTCAATTAGAGCACAATGGGGAAATGAAGCTGTTAAAGGCTTTCCCATCAGAATGGGCTGTCTGATGGAAACGCAAAGCAGTGTACAACTCAGAATTTTTCGAGGAGGCTAAAACACGTTTTGCTGCTTTTCGTCCATAGCAGTACATTGCTTTGCTTCAGTGTAAGTATTCCTGCCTCATCACCAAACTTGAGGCGTGCCAGCTGACATCTACTGTATGTAATATACTGAATGTGGATAAGTACACACACAACCCCACTTCAAAAAATCCTCACTGTCCCTTTAAGGACAAGGCTGGTTTCACTTCAATTTGCTGTCGATTAGAGATTAACCGAGATAAATTAAAAGTTCCGTATTCACAGTTATACAAAGTGTTTTTCTGATGAACAGTAAGTTGTTTGTTTTTGTTTTGATTCCTGTGATACTCTCTGAGACAAACACCCTTTCATGGCATGTCATCATCACATATCACATGCTGTTGTAAAACTGGTGCATTAAATGGTGCAAACTCGGTCACTTAAACCACTTGATTTACAGATTTGCTTAGGACTTTTGGATTTAAATAAACATCTTTTACCATACTGCCACATACAGCCATTTTACTGCAGGAATACAAGACTGTGCACCCTCGAATTAGTAAATGAGTGATAGTTATTTGTCCGAGGTGAAAGTGACTCCAACTCTCCAGATGCAAAGTTAATCTTAAATCTTACAGTAAGTATGTGAATGAGAAAATGATTGAGTGAATCGCTGCAGTGAAGCTCACATAAAAAAAACTCAATTAACATATGGATCCAAACAGCCTCCCTGCAGGAGTCTTCAAATGAAAACAGGAACATACTGTACAAAGCTGCAGGATCTACAAGTGCCGGACTTGTCTTCTTACACACAAACAAACTTTTTCCAATTTAATTACAACTTTTCAGTATCAACATTTAACCCCAAAATTCCCCTGCAGCCCCAGAGTACCCACAAACAAAGCCAAAATAAAACCAAACACCTCTCTCAAACACACACATACACACACACAAACACACACGTTGGTACCTACCAGTTTTCCAAGACAGGACTTGAAGACCAGCATTGCCATTGAGTTCATCAAAGTTGTCTGATGAATCGTTTGTGACGAGTTGTCTGAGGTTTTGTTGTGTCTGAGCTGCTATCGCTTTCTGATCTTATTGTATCTGTCTGCCTCTCTGACTGAGTGTTTTCCTGTCCGTCTGTTCTGTATCCTCGTCTGTGCCAGCAGTTTCATCAAGGCAAGAATTTAGATTTAACTCCAGCTTCCTGCCTCCAGCACACTTATATCTGACTCTGACACATCGAGAGAGGGTAGGAGAGGAGAAGTAGGAGGAGGAGGAGGAGGAGGAGGAGGAGGAGGAGGGATGGAGCACGCTGCCAACGAGCCGTCAGTGTGTGAGCATGTCTACCCTTCTTTCCCAAACCATTCTTCCTCTCTCCTCCCTTACTCGCCCCTCCCTGAAGTGACAGCGTTATAAAAACCAGCCAGCCTCCAACACACACACACACACACACACACACACACACACACACACACACATAAATATACGCCTCCCCAGCTTTTCAGTAATCTTGTGTGTTGTCAGTTAGCGGTTGTGGGTCAAAGACAGACTGTTGACTGGGCTGTCAGATTGTCTAAGCCTATCATTAGCCTGGAATTCACACAGGCCACACCTGCCTACAAACTCTCGCTCTCGATCACACACACACACACACACACACAATAAAATTCTAGAGCAAAACCCCAGACAGCTCCTTCAATCAGTGTTCACAGAAATATGCATCCTACATGAAATGTTCCTCCTCCCCTCCCTCCCTCCCTCCCTGTCTCTATGTCAGAGGGTCTCTTCTTAAGATGTAACATCTTTCACACTCGACAGCAACAAACACTGCGTTCATTTATGTTTGTGTGTGTGAGGGTTTCACTAGAACAGTAGGTCAGTCATATTGAATTTACTGCTGGATACTTAGCACCAGTTGGCACTCCACTAGATCAGGAGAGATGGAAATGATTTTCTGTAGGTGGGATGAAGTGAGATCTGACACTTTCTAATGTCACAATGGAGGGACAACTACATGGGTTGATGTTGGTCATCGTGGACTATATTGCTGCATTGTTCATTTTAGTCAAACCATACAGTTTGAAAACGAGGCACGGCTCCAACTAGGAAACAATGTTTTGATGCATTGGATGTGCTGAATATGCATATTAAGGCAGTACAGGAGGAGGTGCACATTAATAATCCTCCAGGACTGTAACATGCTCATGTTTAACCCAAACAAGGTGTCATGTGACTGCAGTTGGTTCAGATAGAGGTCGGAACACGTTCTCACCACAAATGAACCACACCAGAGTTTGTTTGTAACTGAACCAAGACCACCTCTTTAAGAAAGTCTCGGTCCGGTCGTTATGGTGCACACCTGAGTGCGATTGCTGTGTTCACACCTGTCCAAACGAACTTGAGTTTGACCAAACCAAACCAAACAGGGCAGGTGTGAAAGCACCCTAATTTATTAACTTTGAAAATAACTTGGTTCTTAGCTGATCCCAAAAAATCCTTCTTTTGCTTTCACTCATCTTTGAAGGTCAAAGCAGGGTCACCATGACAGTCACCCTTTAAAGTGTAAGGTGTCATGCTCTCGTATATTTCACCAGGCTTCAACCACTGTTCCAAATATAAAGTGCTTCCCTAAAAGTGTTTTCAGTGAGTGTTTGAACACTCTGCAACTGAGGGGGAATATCATAACTGCTGCAATTGTAATCCTAATCTTAAGAATGGCTGAAGGGATTTCTATGTCTATGGTTTTTTTTTATTTTTATTGTTATTATTTATTCAATTTTCTGATAAGTGTTTGTCCTTGAGGGGGGTGTGATGAATTTGAAAGAGTCCATTAACAAATTTACAAAAACAAACATGCACCGTGGAACTAAAATAAAAATACTGCAACAACACAACTGACAAGTCAAAAATGGCAACTTAGCAAGAAAGCTTTACATCCCAGGTAACGATAACACACTGTACCATGCACGACAACATCACACGAAAATGGGACTCTTAAAAATGTTGCTGTTTCTCTGTCTTCTACTTTTCTGCAGTGGCATTTTCCTGGTCATGCAGATATACTGTATATACACACTTTGTTTTATAATGTTTAGGATGAAACAGGTAACATTAAAAAATCCAAATGGTCTTATAATCAACTTGCAGAATTATGTCAGCAAACCTTTTTTTACTCGTCTCTGAAATAGAAATAGATTTGATTTGTCTTAAATCTTAAATGTACCATTATGTCCTGAGTATTGTGTATTAACTACGTCTATGTCTTTATCCACTGTGTGCACTGTGTGTGTTACCAGCAGCCTTTCCTCCTGCTCCAGCCACCTCTGGTCCTCCTCCATCTGCTGTTGTTGTATCATCAGCTGTTCCTCCATTAACAGGCACTGAGGGCCTACACACTGCTGCATGTCTACTGCCCTGTCCTACACACACACAAACACAAGCATGCAACAAAAGACAAACACAGCAACATGACATGCACAGCAACGTGGGGACACACGCACAGTCACAGATGAACAGAAACATGCACGCACACACACGCACACAAATATGCGGAGGACAGACAGACACATACACCAGACTGATGAGAGGCTGAACTGAGATGATGGACACGCACACTAAAAATAATGTGTCAAATGAGCCATCGATTTTTTTGTAATATATACATTATTATGTAAATTTGTGGACTGGACTCTTTATGCAGGTGGTGTTTTTTTATTCACAATACTTCCTCACAGAGTGACTGACTGATCATCATAAAGCTGACAGGCAAGAAATTAAATTCTCACTGATAGGCAGACTTTGTCGAATAGCCCCAACAAACAAATTTCCACAAAGTAAAAATATTCAAGATTTTAAGACTGTTAACTCTTGAAAATTAAATAAATCACAAAAGACAGCTTTTTATTATTTTGTGAATGGATGCGAGCTGGTGGGGTAACCTGCTGTGTTCATAGCAAACAGCATAATTCTGTGTGCGTTTCACTTCTGTCATGAATTACTTTTGTGTGTGTGTGTGTGTGTGTGTGTGTGTGTTTATCGGCATAAAAATCGGTCTCTTACCTCCATCGCAGAGCCCCATAGTGCCATGTCGTGCCCATGTGGATGGGGAAGGTGCTGTGCGTGCGAGTGTGTGTGGACATGGTGGCGGGGGTGTGTGTGCGCGTGGTGTGTGTCCACCATCGTGGCCTGTGGGGGGTACAGGGCGCTGGGCACAGAGGGGAGGGTGTGAGGGCCGGGGTACCCCGCCATCTGATCCAGGGAGGGAGGGCAGAAGAAGACACACTGTTAGTCTGTCATCAGTTCTCTTTTGATTACATCTTTATCTAATGTATGCTTTTTTTCTGTTTTAGCTAATAATTTCTCCGAAATCAGTTTCTGTCCTTTCAAAGTGTACCTACATATTACAACCTTTTTCCCAAGGAAGAAACAAGCAGGTGAAAAAAAAAAGTTTTTCTGGTGCACTGATCAAATTTGAGATTTTCTGCTATTATGTTTCCATGTATTGTATCAGAATAGTAGAAAGAAAATGTCAAAAATACACATGTAGGTGTTTATTTTAGTTTAGACCTCTGTTCTGAAAATGTATGCAACAGTGCATATTTAATTAAATAAGATATAATTTACATATTTGAATATGAATTTTAAGAAAATTTGTAACACAAAAAAAATAATTGGCTTAATGTAAATAATAAACTGGGGAAGTGATATTTATCAGTTAAAATCTTTACCCAGTTCACCAGTAGTGTCTTATATTTTGTCTAAAAATGTATGGATATATTTTAAAATACATATCTTTAGAGGCCATTTTCCCAAAATGATTTTTTTTCTCATACTCTGAGCCAGAAATTTGCACTTCAGTCGCACTTACATCCACCAAACTTTCCAATTTTACTCCTATACATTTCCTGAAGGTTTTTAAAGAGGGGTTTGATCATATATCATTCACAGTCTGATTTATGTAAAATTTAATTCCTAAAAACATTAATTATTGATAGTATTTTCTGATTTATGCGTGCCAAAAACTGCTAAGTTCCCTAAGTTCCCTCTGTGAAACCTTTAATCTAACATGTCAACAAGTGAGCACATATTCAATTAGAAAAAGGCAATTTTGCACATTTAGACATACATTTCAGATAATACAAAAAATAATTGTCCTAATGCAAGTAATCAACTGGGGAAGTTTCATGGTGACATTTATTAGTTAATCACCTGTAGTGTCTCCCCTTAATCTTTAAATTCTTTATGTAAAACACTTTGAATTGTCTTTGTGAATGACATTAGGTCAACACCCTCCATCCTCTGGGAATGTACTCTACAAATACAGTTGTCTTGCTTCACTGCAACTCCAAACTGATGCAGACTGGTTATTATGAAAGTCAGGTAACTATATACCAAACACAGCAGAAGCAAAAGAGCAGTCAGCAGAGTTTGTCTAAATACCTGGTAGTGTCCAGGATGCTGGGGACTGGGATAAAAGCCTTCACTCGAGCGAGGACTGGGATAGCCTGGTCTACTAGGCTACAGACAGAGAGAGAGAAGGACAGATGTAAAGAGACAGAAAGACAGAGAGAGAGAGAGAGAGAGAGAGAGAGAGAGAGAACAAATAAAAATACAGTTACAATGCTTGTTAATTTTTTTCCACCCAAATTGAAGGTTAGAAGACGGGACACCGGGTCATTCAGACAATCAACACACAAACCTCTCGGAGCTGTTTGTGTGGCTGGGTTAGCTGTCAATCAAAACAGGGAACACCCACCAGGCTGCAAGTCCAGCAAGCTGTTAGTTGAGTACTGTCTCTATGTTACAAACATAGACATCCATGGACTGTTGGTATAAACTGTTTTATTCCTGGACTACTGATCACTGCTGGTTAGATGTGATGCAGGTGTGTACACAGAGTGTTATGGCTGCATGCTCACCAAAGACCTCCCTTTTGAGTGCTGTTATTTTCTGATTTGGAAAAAAAGAATGTGATTTTCAATCTGCATGACAAATTAGAGAAATAGGACTTTTTAATCTAAGCTTCTCAAAGGAACATATTTTAGTAGAGTAGAGTGAGTCTGCTGCTCGCCTCTTTTCTTTTCTGTTCCATTGCTGGGCACTCATAGCTAAAAACAGAAGTGCTTGGTGAAGCAGCCTTGTGTCTTGTCTTGGTTTCTGGTGACTTGTTGTGATGAAGCTGTTGAAAGTTGATGAACAGTTTCCCCTCTTTTTGTCTTTATGATATAGACCTCTCTAACACAGAGCTCATTTCCAGCACGACAGTGTTGTAACCTCTACCTTCCACAGTCTCTCATAGTAGCTTTCTCTGGACCACACCTCCGACAGCAAGACAGACACACAGGGAGGGAAACAGACAGCAAAGAAAGACAGGGAGGGATGGAGGGAGGGAGATAAGGAAAGAGAAAAGGAAACATGGTAGGAAGGACAAAGACAAGCAGACAAGACAAAGAAACTGAGGACGAGACAAACAGGAGTTTTAAAAACTCTCTGAGAGGGAAACGTACGGCATGTTGTTAACATGCTCTCACATGGAAGGACGCAGGGTTTCTTGACAAAATTATATCTTGGAAGTTTAAATCTGCCCGAAACAGATTCACAGCCCTGTGGTAGTCAGTCCATGTAGAGGGAGGTTTCCCGGGGAATACCCAGTTTAAAATAGAAAGATAAACACAGGGACAACAGACAGACAGACTGGAAGGTGAGGTTAATGAGACAGGATATTCACATCAGGGTCAGACAGAAGTTGGTTACTATCTGGAGACTTTCGGATGAATGTTTGAAAATGAACAAATGACCAAATAAATAAATAGACCCAGCCTTAATCTTCCAACTGTAGAGCTGCAGTGCCAAGAATTTCAGTCCTGGCTTGCCAGTATCAGTAATGGCAGCACCAGTTTAAACCTGCAGATGCGCACCATCTACTAGCAAGGAAAATAAGATGACGTAATTTAGACACTTGTGACACCCACAGGCGGTGAGCATTACAGCTATTAATGTTTTATATCTTGGTTTGGGGTTAGCTACAATTACTTCTTCATGGTTGTATGCCTCTGCAAACCACTCAAATTGTGCTGACAGTTCACATCAGTATCTGTCAAAACATGGATGCTTCACACACGTCTTCCCTTCGGCAGCACAGAGGATCTATACAATCAGCAAGGTTTCAAGGTGGACACCCAAGATTAGTGTTACTAATTCAGTATCTGACCAAATGTCTCCCCTTCTGTTCTTGAGATATGATGTTGAGTAATGACAAGAGAAGTGCTTTTACAGAATATTATGACGTCACAGCAAAGCTTACCTTTTGGAAAAATGTCACTTCATCATTATATCCTATTAGACACTTGTGTGAAATTTTGTCATAACTAGCGTATGAATTCTTAAGTTATGGCCAAAACAGTGGGGTCACGGTGACCTTGACCTTTGACCACCAAATTCTAATCAGTTCATCCTTGAGTATAGGTGACCGTTTATGCCAAATTTGACAAAACTTCCCTCACGGCGTTCTTGAGATATCTTGTTCACAAGAATGGGATGAAGGGACAACCCAAAAACATAACGCCTCCAGTCATGGCTATCACCAGTGCGGAGGCATAAAGATTAATGTATGTGTCAAACCACAGGTGTGTGGGCAGAAAAGACAACTTTAGTCTAGTACATCTATGTTGGACCAAGGTAAATGTTACAGCCATGGCTAAATGGTAACCCTAGATTTGCAAAACTCTTGCAAGCGGCTTAAAAATACTGTCTTGCTGTTTTATGGTGTGTCAGCGTTGTGGTAAAGGATTGGCTGGGTTTTGGCACAAAAAGCCCTTGGTTAGGGTTAGGGAAAGATAATGGTTTGGGTTAAAGGTCTAGTGTGTGGGATTTAATGGGATCCAGTGGTTGCAGAATTAAAACTTCTCTTTTGCATGGAGGAGAACTATGGTGGCTGACGTGAAAATGTGAAAATGTGAAAATGCAAAAAGGCCAATCCAGAGTCAGTGTTTGGGTTGTCCATTCCAGGCTACTGTAGGACAATATGGCCGAATATGCAGAGGACCAGCAGCTCTGTATGTAGATATTAACGACTCATTCTAAGGTAACAAAAACGCAATAATTTTTATTTTCAGATGATAATAAACTAATGAAAACATAGTTATGCTTACTATATTCTATTTCTGCCAATAGCTGCCCCTAAATCATGCACACTGGACCTTTTTTTCACTTGATCATTTAAAACATGGAACGTGAAATCTCGCAGGAGTTTTCTTGAATCTGGGGTTACCATCTAAACATGACCAAATTTTGAAACATAGAGCTTGCCAAATAAAATAAATAAATAAATAAATACATCAGTCTTATCAATTTTCCATGATCTATTTTAAAATTTTTCATTACCTTTAACATTTAAACAGAATGCGCAATTTAAAAATTCCACGGTTTCAGGGCAAAAAAAAATTTGGACAAACTTTTAAAGGGATTCTTTTGTTGTTGTGAGACACGTATCCCTGTTGCTAACATTTAGATCCATGGCATAACTCCAGGAAGAATTTTAGGTATGTTGAGCAGCAAAATGTAATTAAAATCTTTTTTTTCACTTCATGTATCACTCTGGGGCACAATTCATTGACTCCCACGCAGACTCATCTATCACCCTAAGGGTCACAGTGCAGTGCACAGAGACTTGCAACAGGACTTTATTCTGCTGTTGTAAAGGTTTAACTTGTGACCTGTCTTCCAACTGAGGGCCAAACAGAAAATTGACTTTTAACAGTTTCCCTGCATTAAAAGTCATAATCCTATGTAGAGAAAAGGGCGTGTAGGAAGTATGGTGATGTTACAGCTCAGCCGGCGACTAAAAGCTCACTCCAAAACCAGGGTCACCTACCAAAACAAGTTCATGTGCAGTAGGACTGGCCACCACTCAACACTTAGGTCAAGGTGACAGAGAGCCAGCTGTGTATAAACAGGATTACGTAGAGACGGACCTTTTCGCTAGCTCTGTGTGTATTAATAGTAACTGTGTCAATCCTAGGCTTCACATATTCTTACAAGTGTCAGTAGTATTTGCAATAAATCAACAAGACTGAATTCAGAATGGAGATCCACAGCATTATATTGGATTATATTATATGTTACAGTTAAAGCTCTTTCTTCTTGAACACGGCTGAGACCCAGACCTGGAAAAAGTTGTTGCATTACACAACAGCAATAGTTCTGGACTTTGGGTTCCTCCTAGTGTAAAAAATGTTTTAAACATCTTTTCTGACCACTTAATTTTAATTCCAGTGAAATTTAAATTCTGTAACTATTTTTTTCTGGCTTATTCATGATATACTGTTTTTAGTCTCACGTGTGTTAGATGATTCGACTGTCAGCAAGTGGATTAGGATTTATGACAGGCATCCTGAACAGGCCAGAAATAGGGTGCCAGAATCCGAGGACAAATCAACACAATGCCTGACGCAAACACAAATATCTACATTCAATCACGGCGGAGGGCATTCAACAGCATGTCCAACATAAATACAGCATGCCGAGCATGAACATGCTAATTAAGAGTTACTGGAGTTGGCAAGCATTGTATCAAAACTCATTGCACTCAGTTATAGCTAATGATTCAAAGGTTGGATTGAGTTTGTCATCAAAAAATGTTGCAACATATTTGAGAATGTGTAGCCAACACTGGGTTTCTTGAGCTTTGGTTGTCATGTGGTGGACATAAAAGACAGAAAAGGGATGTGGGTGTGAGGAGTGCAAAGTTACTGAATGCAGTGACCAAGCAGATGTTAAAGGAGCACTGAATATTAGTCAAAGAAAATAATCTGAAAACATTATTTTCTCAACTATGTTATTATAATGAGCAAAGGAGCCCGATAAGAACAGACAAGTTACTTCCAAAGTTGGAAAGGTTGCCTGTGCTTTATTGTTCGTGCTTGTATAACTGGGCTGGGCTCAATCAAAATGTGATGACAATGGTTGCATTGTTTGCTTATGTTGCCAGGCCACTGTCAATCCCATCTCATCGTACCTCACCCACACAGTCCTGATGAAAGATGAGCTCAGCTTCTAAAAGTTAAACTCTCAATAAATCATACCTAAGAATGTTTTTATTCTGAACTTTGACGCTTGCTTATTCAGTCCTGAATATTCTTGTAAAGAAGAAAACAAGGCCTCAAGGGCTGAGAAAAACCCCCACCTTAAAATACTTTATAGGTCAAGCTAGTGATGTTATTGCTTTTGGCTATCAAGTTATTGGATGGCATATTTTCCTTTTCACAATGGTTGCCCAAATGCAGATAACATGAGGGGGAAATAAAATTATTTTAAGTGGAAAACTTTATTTTAAAAGACAAAAATCTGGTTTCGGTATCAGTTCACAATCCTAAATGTTGCAACTTTTGTTGATAAAGAAACATAAGTCTGTTTTAGTTATTTAAGGAAACAGCTTTAGTGCAGTTTAACAGTACACCACCTGCCTGTAAGGTTCTGGACATGTGTCTTTCTGAGCAGTGGATGGAATGTGTACTGGTGGTTACAGGGAGGTTTGGCATTCGACTGGGTGGATGGTGGTGAGTGGAGGGAAGAGTGCAGGCAGAGGGTATGGGGCGAACTCTCTCTGTGTTTGAAAGACCGAGGGGGGCAGGAGAGACCAACGGGGGCCTCCCACATGACTGCACAGCAGGGTGTTGGCGCTGGGGGTCAGAGTCAGGTTGTAGAGGGGTACTGGGATTAGTTTGACATCCAGGTTGAAAGCTGTGCAACAGCAGGGTTTTAGGATTAGAATTTGTCATGAGCTCAATGTTTTTGAGGGCGTGGGGACAAATAGAGTTAAGGTTAGGACTAGAGTGAGAAAGGAGTGGGGAGAAGTGCCAGGGATGGGAGCGTGAGCTGTTTGACTTTGGCTGGGATGAAGAGAGCAGGTGGCCATTAGTAAGGGGATTTGTCTTGTAGGGGCAGCTGCCATTGGACAGACTCTCTGAACTGGGGAGAGGTGGAGAGCAGAAATTAGCATGAGACTGTAGATACAAGCTGGCTCTGGATTCAAGACTGAACCTAGAGTTATGCTGGGAGGAGGAGTGATTGTATAAAGTGGTGTTTGATTGAGGATTGGGAGAAGAGGAAAAACGATGGGGAAATTGCAGAGATGAGTGGAGTGGAGGAGTGGGGAGGTGAGAAGAGGTGAAGGTAGATGAAGGATGAGGGTTTCCAAGACAAAGGAAAAGCTGTGAGGCAAAGCGCTGGTTTTGATGGCAATGGTGGTGAGGCGGAGGAGCAGACAGACAGTCCAGACTGAAGGTGGGCTGCAGGGAGGGATGACGGCTGGGCTGCAAACAGAAAGACAAAGGTAGAGGACGGACAAGTGGAAATAAAAAAGGTATCAAGGAGGATAGAGAAATGTAGCAGATAGGTGAGATTGACAGGGATGAGACGAAGCACAGACAGAAATATGCACGACTGTAACCAAAGCCATACAGCGACTGTACCTCTGAAGAGCATTACATGTCTTTCAAACATGAGTGAAAAGACTTTTGCCACCCAGAAAAAACATTTAAGTTCCTTTAGCTGTCAATAACTTCAACTGCATCACTGAAGACTTAAAAACCAAAACTAATCTTATGAACTACTGTTTAAGACATATGGCTTTAGCTGTAACCAAAAGAAGCAGTTAACAGATGCTAACAGCAGGGGTATGAGGGGGGCAGTAAGTGAGGGTGAAGCAGCCAGCAGCTGGGGCCACAAGCTGTGAGGTGGGATGGTACAAGTGGAGGTGGGGGTGGTGTTTATGGACCTACAAAAAGAACAATCCAAGAAGTAATGTCTCATTTGTAAACAACCAATTATTCACGAATTTCACCATGTTTACACATTTACAGGGAGCAGTTTATGTTGTATGAAAAAAAGGAAACAATCTACCAGACTGTGGTATCAACCTTAACCCGTCGGCCACAAGGTGAATATTATAGTGAGATATTATAAAAAGAAACGCCTGTATATCAACAAAAAAGAAGTTGCAAAATGGTGTCAAAAATAAGCAAATTATTACAAGTACAAAAGGTGAAGAGGGTCACATGGTCAGTGGTCGAACATTTGCACATTTTTACATGAGGGCATTTTATCCTATAATAAAGGACTTAGCTGCGTGCACCCGACACTCTTTCTTGTAAAGCCTGGATTTCAAACCAATTCACTTTGATGTCCTTGACCTTTATTATCATAGTGCAAAAAAACACACTTGGAAACTGACTTTGGCAATAATTTAACTTAACCAGGGCGGAAACCTCAGAGTCAAACTTGTATTAACAGAGGAAACATTAAATCAAATGAGTTAACATTTGAATCATTGCAGTGCCTTGATATTAATGGTGACCACTTACAACCCCAGCTCCAAAAAAGTTGTGACTTGTCATGAAACGTAAATGAAAACAGAGTGCAATGATTTTCAAATCTGTTCTTACCTGTACTCAATTGAATAAAAAAGAAACGAAGATAAGATATTCAAAATTCAAACTGATAAACTTCATTGTTTTTTATAAATATGCATTCATTATGAATTTGATGCTTTTAACAACACTCATAAAGTGTTTAGGAACTGATGACACTAATTGTTTCAAAAGAGTAATTCTTCTCTATTTATAAATGACAGTTGCTCAGTTGCTCAAGATTACGGGGTCTCCATTGTCTTCTCCTGCACTTCATAATCCACATTTTTAATGGAAGATGGGTCTGAACTACAGGCAGGTCAGTCTAGTGCCTGCTCTCCTTCACTATATGAAGCCTCATTGTTGTAACACATGCAGAATGTGTCTCACTGTCTTGCTGGAATAAAAAGGGACACTGTGAAAAAAACGTTGTCTGGATGGCATCATATGTTGCTCCAAAACCTGTATGTACCTTTTGGCATTCATGTTGCTTTAACAGATATGCAAGTTACCAGTGTCAGTGTGTTAGTGCCAACGATGCCATGGGCACTAACACACCTCCATACCATCACAGATGCTGGCTTTGAACTTTGTGCTAGTAACAATCTGGATGTTTTTTTTCCTCTTTAGCTTGGATGACACAACATCCATGATTTCCAAAACCAATATCAAATGTGGACTCGTCAGACCACAGAACACTTTTCCACTTTGTGTCAATCCATCTCAGATGATCTCAGGTTCAAAGAAGTCTGCAGCGTTTCTTGTTGTTTAAATACAGCTTTCATTTGCATGGTTGAGTCTTAACTTGCATTTGTAGATGCAACAACAAACTGTGTTTACCAACAATGGTTTTCCAAAGTGTCCCCAAGTCCATGTAGTGATATCCTTTATGTACTCATGTTGGTTTCTGATGCAGAGCCGCCAAAGTGGTTGAAGATCATCAGCACTGGTTTTCAGCTTTGCCCCCTTATGTTCAGAGATTCTACAAATCTATTGATGATATTATGGATTGTAGATGGTGAAATCCCTTAATTTAATTCAATTGTGCATTGAGAAATGTTGTTCCTAAACTGTTAGACTATTTGGCCATGCAGTTTTGCAGGCATCAAGTTCAGAATGACTGTATATTTACGAGAAACAACAAAGTTTACCAGTTCAAACAAGCATCTCATCTCTGTTCTGTATTCAATTGAACATAGGTCATAAAAGATTTGCAAATCACTGCATTCTTGTTTTATTGACAATTTACACAGCATCCCAACTTTTTTGAAATGGGGTTGTAGAAACGTGTGATGCAGCAAAATAGACAACAGAAAACATATCACAAACTCCACATGACAGCATATCACAGAGGCTAACTGAAGAGTGCATGGGGGACTTGCAATGATCAGGACGTCTCACTGCCAACAGCACAAACACAACAGATACTCAGACTCTTTATTACTACACCTGTTGCACTCAGACAAACACACACAGACAGGCAGACGGAGACACAAACACGTGGTGTAGTAGTGCCTTACTTTTGGTGGTGCTTCATCGGACCCTCCAGAGTCCCAAGAAACAGTGACCTGTCTCCTCATCTCCATCCTGCTCCTCTCCTTCTGCTGAACCTTCTCCTCCTCCAATATAGTGCTGGAGACAAAGAAACAAAAGCAATATGATGTAATACAAAAAGGTACTGATATTCTTGTTTCTGTATCACCTTGTTAATCCAGCACTGAGAAGTAGAAGAACAAGAATGGTAATAAATAAGTACATGGTGTTGTTTCTGTCACCATCTCTAGGACACAGCCTAATAAAGGTTGTCACAATACCAGAATTTAAACTTTGATACCATACTAATATAACAAAAATAAAGAAAGTTACTCGATACCTCTTTCAATACCATGGCAAAATGTAAGAAAAAGTCCTAGGCACAGGAAATAGGATAACTTTTTTTCTTTGAATTAACAACCTGCACAACATGCCTTGGGTTGAAGATCTGATTGTAGATCATCGTTTTTTATAGCTTCAGTAATGGAGGTTGTATTGTTTTAAACATTTGGTAATCTAGCACAAATTAACATATGGCATTAAACACTTAAAGGTCCAGTATACAAAACTAAGGGAGGTATATTGGAAAAAATGAAATATTATATAATAAGTACATTTTCTTTAGTGTATAATCACCTGAAAACTAGAATCACTGTGTTTTCTTTACCTTAAAATGAGCCGTCTATATCTACATAGGAAGTGGGTCCTTGTTTATGAGATTGCCATGTTCACTGCCATGTTTCTACAGTAGCCCAAAACGGACAAACGAAGCACTGGCTCCAGATAGGGTCATTCGTGTTTCCTGTTGGGCACCACAGTTAGAGGCCCGTCTGTGATCAACAGCATTAGAAAAACGCTGACTAATAACGTGAAAATGCTTTATTCTGTGCTTTTACCGGTTTAAATAATCACGTCCATTTGTTTTGGAGAGGAAGAGACCTCTGTAGATAATTTGGCTCCCGGTAAAAACCTCCTGAACATCTGGATTGTAAGTTGTCAGAGAGAGCATGCAAACAGTCTCCAACATGCCAAAACGCCTAGGAAAATGACTGATTTGTAAAGTGAAACTGCTATATTCAGTGTTTTTGCCAGTTAAAATCACCTGGTCTGTTTGTTTTGGGAAAAAAAGACCTCTGTGGATAAGTCGGCTCCTGGTAGAAATCTCCTGAGTAATGAACACTGATAGAATTCTAACTGGATGAAGTTTCAGTTGGTTGCAATCTGCAGTCCTCACCACTAGCTGCCACCAACAACCCCCTAAACCTTACACACTGAACCTTTAAGACTTAAGTTACTTTTTATTTTCTGGTGTAACATTCCCTGCTATGTTGTTACGTCCGGTATAAAGTGAATAATGACTGAAATGAACCAGCCAGATGATTTCTATCAGTGTAGCTGGCTTTGAAAATAACCCCTTGAGAAATGACAAACTACGCAAATGTACTGTAATGAAACAATGACCTGAGGTACTATGTTCTGCCTTTAGTACTTTATCTTGACCTCCTAATACACATGCGGGTGAACTCACACAAACACACGCTTCTACGCATACATGCACACACCACATAGTTGTTAAAATTAAACTGTCAGCTTAAGTGGTTTTCTGCAACTGAGAAATGTGAAAACTCACTGACAGCCCTTAAACACACACACACACACACACACACACACACACACATCGTGGTGTGTGTGAGAGCGTCATTACTGTGTGCTGTAACACCCACACACACTCATGCATACACAGCATTCCTCACAATGTTTGTACAGAGCAACAGAACACAAACTACTTAAGTCAGAAAAACTCAAATTCAGTTTTGCTATTACATGTCTCATTGCTCAGTCTCTTATTACCATTATAGTTCATGCTAGGTTGCTCAACTATAATAATATTCACTGAACCAATACAGTCACACAGTAATAAAAACAACACAAGCCAGCGTCAAGTGAATCTCTCTGTCTACCTTGCAATATTACCAGGAATTCAATTTCAATATTATGTCTCACAGAAGACTAAATTCAGTCAAAGCTGATATTTCAGCTTTTCCCCTTCACTGTATGTTCACACTCACTGCTGACACCATGACTTTGCTGTGTCAGGCAAAACTGTTACCGCAATTTAACCAGTAAATTTATGAGTAATATTGCTTAAGATTAAATTGAATCACTTGGTGGCTCAGCAACATCCCACGCCCCAAACCCAACATTTTTTCGTTCTAATGTAGCCAAAGACACCACGCTGAATTTACTTGCTAAAATTATACCCACTGACCTGTTCCCTGGGAAAACTGCTGCTAAACCAAACCCAGATTCCCAGAGGAAGACGCTGCTGCCGAAGAGCTGACTGGTCCACACAACAGAAAACTGACTGGTTGAACAAATCCCACACACACTCCAAACAGTCACACACTCTTTCTACTCTCCTTTCCTCAACAAGGGTAAGGGCTATTTCTAGTAACATCATTACCCTGCTGTTCTGTTGTCTCCTGCCGTGTGTGTGTGTGTGTGTGTGTGTGTGTGTGTGTGTGTGTTTGAATGTGTCCTTGCACCTGTCCAAGTCAGTCTTCTGTCAGGTCTTCTCTTCTTCCCATCACAACACACATTTACACACAGATCTGTACAACACCACTGCCAGTTAGACAAATACTGTGTTTCTTTCTTTTTTTAAATCTTCTTATCTTTTAAATAGATAGTCTCACCAAGTTTACGATCTTCTGTAAGTTGTCGACTACAGGAAAACTTTTTGTTTTTGTGCTGAACTGTACCCATCTTATAGGTTAAACAAATGAAGACAACATTAAAACACACAATGGTTTGCATAAAAATAATAAATGGGCCTCTAACTGCTTGTAAAAGCTTGTTTCTAGCAGAGAGCAGTGTTTTTAACAGCATAGCTGCGCTGTACCTCTCAGTCCTTTTTATTGAATGTCTATTTCAGCAAGCCAAGTCATTAGACATTGATCCAAATGAAACCAGCCATTAATAAATCTGCCAGCCTCGCCTCACAGTTTAACAGTAAATGACATCATGCATGAATGTGTGTGATGACGATAACATCAGCACCTGGCAATGCTAACGCTGACTTGTCTCCTCCCCCACCTACACCACGTTGCCACCTGGAATAACAAGGCCTGTTTAGACTATTTACTCAGGCTGGGCTGACTGCACAATCTTGGACTTTTTCAGCACCGCCCTGCTTTACACTCACGTACTTCTCACCTGAGAGCTGCTCTGTACATCCACTGCTGATGGAAAATGAGCAGCACAGTTTAGATATATGGATTCAAGTGCACTGACTAGCCCAGTCGCCATCAGTAGATGTTGGCATGAATATATTACATTTGGGCATGTCATGGAGATCATGTTAACATTTCCAAAGTGACAAAATATATAAGCTGATTTTGTCATCTGGAGGTGGCGGGGATAATGTCATCATAGCGAGATGCCCGCCAAGTTGCAGACCACCGCGGACCACTGTCCGAAACCAAAGAAAGCATCAGTTGTTTTTCGGCGACCCTTTGCTGTGTTTCCATCAGTGTTTGTTGCACCGGACCTGGATGTTTTTAGGGGCATATCAAAGTGATTCCAAGCAGCGTCTGAGCCACCAATCCTGGGTGTTTTTCACCAGCCCATCCCTGCTTTTCCAGCAGCTTATGTGCCACCAAATGTGGGTGTTTGAAGCCAAAACATGATCTTTTTTCTAGCCATGACCAAGTGATTTTTGTGCCTAAGCCTTACCACACCTTCACCACAGCGTTGTTGAGAACCCAGCAACGAAATAATGTACAAATGTAACGCATCTGTTGTTTGCAAAAACATACCCTATCAATATTTGTTCTGGTAACTGGTTTGGCATTGAGATGTAAAGTGGACACCTATAGGCAACTGCTTTCTAGAACCCTGGCTCACTGTTGCTCTGTGTGTGCTAAAGCTGCCACAAAGGCAGGTTCACACATTAATATAAACAAGAACTACACATGCGTTGACACATTAGCTTTCATCAAACTCTGACCAGTAAATAGATCAATGCAAGAATGATCACACAGAGGCTGATTCCTTGCCCATTCCATGATTTCATAATGAGGGTCAACAAAGAGGTTACATCACTGCTGAGAGCAAACTTGGACGTCCTTGTTAACGGATAAAGGATTCTGTGTTTGTGTTACTATCCCAACACTGCAGCAAGGAAACAAACAACTGTAACTGCAACTGGAATTTGTCTTGTTCCCCATCACTTCCACTGAAAAGACTTTACAAAGGGGCACAATGAACAATTACAGTGCCCTGTAACTGTTTCAATGGGAATACTGGTATAAGTATATTGTTTGAAGACAGACTTGATAGAATGTAAACCTATTCTTTACGCAGACTATGCAAAGCATTTCTTCCAGAGGATCAGCAGAGGTCAGTCAAACAATCAACTAATGTTTATGTTTAAGAGACGTACAGAACAGCTGCTCCAAGCCAGCTTTGGATTGAACCCAGTAACATCCACTGAATGCATCACACTTGCACACATAAAATTGTTTTTACTTGAAAAAGTAAAATAAACTACTCAATCTATTTCAGGCTGACACCGCAACATTTAGAGAACCTGATGAGACAGAAAGGCATGTAGAAGAGACAATACTTTACCTGAGGAACAGGCCAATCCAAAAGCAGCAGAGTGTGTCCAGTCGAGACCTTTTAGGAGAATAATGCAATCACTAAGCTGATGATGAGCCAGTGGCACTCAGCACTGATACACTGAAGGTCAACACGTACAACTACAATGGATCCCAGCAACGCTGAAAGGATAAAACGTACTACTCCTGGCAGGATGACTCAAATATGCCCCGTTGTAGCTGAACAAAACCCCACCAGACTGCAGGCTAAAGTCCTTCCCCGCACACACACTTCACTATCAGGATAACATGATCTAAAAACAAGGAGCCTTGAACCGCTAGCTTTGACGATGGGAGTACAGTGAGAGAGTTCTGCTTGCCTTTCTTTTTCCTTCTTTCATTCTCTCTGTCTATTTTCTCTCTCACTCTCTGTTCTTTGGAAAGCTGGAGCTCCTGGCAGCTGCCCACTGTGTAAACACACACAAACACACACTCACA